AATGTCTGCTGTTTGACTGAAACATATCACTGAAGAGCATCTTCCTGTGATTTTATTGTGTGTTCTGTCCCTTCATTTTCAACATCTGGATGATGGACGTATGGTGAAGCGTAAGGAGGTGTTGGTTGGCTCAAACTACATTTCATGCAACTCATGACAAGAAATGTATAAAGAAATACCGCACTGTCCCTAAATAATTGAATAAATAGGAGCTGGATTGATCAGTGAATAAGTGCAAGAGCGGAATACCTCTGCTATGATCTTCAACGTCCCTTTCACGGCCCATTGATTCATCACGTTTTTATTAAGAATAGATGGCTTTAATTTAATTTATGTTGTTTGTTTTTTTGCTCTTGTTGCATCAATCCAATTTTCTAAAGCAAAAATTGTCTTTCAATATTTTGGTGATGGATTCTCCTTTTTTAATATTCTTTAAGTGGAAGTTCCAAACTGGAGGAAAAATATAACTGGATAAATTAGAGGATGGCTTTGATATGAGACTTAAAAATAGATCGCCTTGCATAGCGTTTGTTTCTTTGGGGAGATGTTGTTGTCTTTAGCTTAATTTTATTTTATTTTTTTGCAGAACACATGGACCTCTCCCGGATAATGATGGCTTATACCAAACTCCACCGGGGCGTGAGAGGCTGTGGAACGTGGAGGGGGCTTCATCTGGGCTATTTCCATCAGGTATAATCGAAATCCACGGGCGGTTAGAGCTTATTTGTAGTTTATTTGAGGCATAAAGAAGAATTCATGGGCTGAATCACGTCATGTTCAAAAAAGAGCACATTTAAATATGATCATGGCAGACCACACACACAGGACAAGGATACGTTAAGGTGGGAGCCATTCGGTGTTTGACGCCGTTTTGCAGGTCAAACACACACCTACAGCAGGTAAACACACCGCCGGGCTCTGGGCATCTCCCTCCAACCACTCTGGGTGCTATAGGATTAGAATCTGTTTGCGTTCAGTTTGTGGTGCATGGGCGCTTCATTTTGTCTGATGGAAGGAAGGGGAGTGACACAGAGACACGACACGTGTGCTCCAATATAATAACCAAATAACTTTTACCAAAACATCAGCCGATGAAATCGATTGAGTACTCCATTTGTTTGCAAAACCTTGGATGTGTGCTTTTGAGATGAACGCATTCGCATGGGAGAAATAATTTGTTAACACTACAAAAGCAAACACTTTGACAGGACAGAAAACTGACGTAAACAGTTGCAGCCAGTAGCTTTACGCGGCTTCACCATCCAGATGTTAGGACTGCTGTTTGCTGCCCAGATTAGATAAAGGAAAAAAGAAAGTAAACAAATTATGAAATAGTTCATTTATTCCTAGATGAGTCACGGAGGATGATCAAATCATAATTTAGGCAAAGTTATCTGATTTTGGACTGCATGGATATTCGTTTAAGAATGTCTTGTACTTTATTAAAATCTAAAGTGAGAGTTTATCGGATAAAAAAAAAATTAAACCAGTAATGGATGCTGTTAAAAATGTTGCACATCATTTAACTGCAAACAATCCGGACGAAAGGCAACCTATGAAAACTTCGAAAAATCGATTATGGTAGAAAATACGTTGCATTATTTTTTCTCACAGTAACAAACAATGGCTTAATATCTGCTAAAAATGCTTAAGAATTCCGGGTTCCAGCTATCTGAATGTAACAGTAAATACAGTAACACGTCCTCCCGGACCCCCAAAACCCCCCAAAAAACTTTGACTGAAAGGTAATAAAAAAAAATACCGCCATATAATTTAATGATAAAAAATATGAATAGTGTATATGAATGCGCCAAATAGCTCTGGAAGCTGCTGCCAACAGGCTGAAGAGACTCCAGCAGAGAGCACGCCCCAGCTCTGAGTCCTACACGGTTTGTCTGATAAGTGCTGCGCTGAACGATTCAATTCGACATGGACGATTTTGGGGCTTCAGAACAGAAAAATCTGGAAGTCATGCGCGGAGGTTCCGGAACGTCAGCAAATCTTTAACAGGATTAGAGCAGCGAAAGAAAAAGGAGGCTTTGTCTTCCGTTTGGAACACTCTTTAGGCCTCTCGGTCATTTATTACGATCGTTAATGCTGTTATCATTAATATTAATATTATTATTGTTGTTGTTCATATCTGCAATAGCCTAATAATTTGCATCCATTTTGCTTTAATTACCATATCATTGGGCGGACTACATATCTCAAGTTACTTTGAACAGCTTTTTTTTTCCTGCCAGGAGCGATATATAAAATGAATATTTCTGGCTTTCAGTGGGGTGTCACGTGCCTTTAGTGTCATTGCTCCCAATTCCGACATATTTAGTTGAAAATAAGATTTTTTTTTAAAAAGGAGGAAGGTGCACGTCCGCCCTTACTGAAATTGTTGGAGATGGAGCAGCGCGCGGAGACCTCTGATCCCCCAACACTGACCCTTTGTTATTTCAGCCTCCAGAGGCACCTCAGTGGAAACAAGTTGAGCACGTTCCCCCACCGTAAACATTATCCTTGACGCATTAGTGGCCTGGGAGCCTGGCCGGGTGGGCAGGTGGGCAGCCACCAGAAGAAAAAGGCCGCCGGGACCCCATCTATAGTCTGCTTTAGGCGCATAAGCCACCATGTCAACAAAACTATATCTGCAGATAAAAACGTTCATTTACGCCAGGCACAAACCAACACGAGCTGGGGCGCGCGCTGTAATTTGCTCCGTTTCGGGGATCTCACGCCAGCCTGGAAAAGGTGGGAAGAGTAAACAGAACATCTCATCCGGCTCTGGGGGCTGCGCGTGCAGGAGCAAAACAACGGGGACTACTTTGTGTACATTTAGCCCGCTTGTTTCGTGTCAGCAGAGGCTGCAAACAATGCTCCTAATTGCGCTTCCAGGACAGGGCTGACGGACGCCTGCGCGCGCGCTGATTTCCTTTAGATTGCGCACAGAAGGTCAGTCACGCGCTGTGGCCTTTCTAAAATATGACACGAGAAAACCCAAAGCATGTGCCACGACGGGGAGAGAGCGGGGAGGCTAAGTTATGGCGTGTGTTTGTTTCCCGTGTCGGGGGGCAACAAATCTTCCTTATTGCCTGCAAGCGAGCTCCTCGTGCTGCGAGGGCCTTTCTGCACGAGAGAGTAAAGGGAGAAATAATCACTGCTGAAGATGCTCGTTTACAAACAGCATTCCCGAGGGGAAATAAAACAAAGGTAAAGAAAGGAAAGCTAATGGTTTTGTTTCAAACTGCCCCGAAAGTCTGCGCTGCATTAACGCCGGCTTTGCGTAATTTAAAGCAACATTTGCGCAAAGCCTTGATGGAGTTCAAATGGTTTAATAGTTTCAAGCAGAAAAGTGAATCCTCACTGACTCCAAAAGTCATTAAAAGGTAAACATGAACACAGAAACATCTTTAAAAAAGACAAAATAATTCATTTAAAATTGGCACACACAGGGCGATAGATTTAGCATGTTCTGTTTTTTCTTGCCTTATTTTCTGCACATCACTCCCCTTTTTTGAACGCCTCTGCTTGTTGGTGCGTTTCCCAGAGAGCAGCTGGCCATCCAGGACGCTGAGAGCAGAAGAAGAAATAAAGAAAGACATGGGTGACAAATAAAAACTATTCCCATTCTCAAACGCATTGGGACAAAAATTACAAACATCAGCCAATTACATTACTCATAGCCAATCATTTCCCCCGTTTCCCTAATGAAGCCTTTTAAATTCTTCAGATGAAGGGTGGTGTAGTGAAAGGAAGAGTCACCCAAATTCAAGTTTACACAGCACAATAAAGCGTTTGTTTTTCCCTGTTTTTTATATCAAGAAAATCTATTTTTTTATAACGATAAAGGGTGCATTTTTTAAAGTGACGTCAGATCTTTCTTTATGAAAATTTAAATGCATAAATGTATAATTTATAAGATATAAAATACTAAAGTATATTTAGGTTGGTTTCGTCCCATGATGGTCAGTGACATAGAGATATATTTTAAAATCTGCCATCAGATAACTGAAAAAGTCAATATCTGACCCCCAAACTCGATGTTGCATCATCCCTATCACAACTGTCTCAATAACAAACGCAATCATGGAGGTATATCCCCAGTTTTTGCTTTTTCTGATGGGGCAACAAGGCGAGGAGGAAGACGGGGGAGGATGATGGGGCGGTGGGAGGGGGCATCTCCCCGGACCCGTCATGTCAAACGTTTCCGCCAATAGCGGCGCTGCTCTGTGCGATCTTGAACCCAGATTGAAGAGGAGAGCCAATCAGGTGCGCGGAAATCCTCCGAGGCCAAGCCTCCCGATTTCAGCAGATTGAAATGTAAGCCTGTCTCCGGCGCCTTCAGGAAACAGATCGAGCATTTTGTCCCTCTTGTTCCTTATCGTACAAGAAGATTTGGTTGAAGGCGACTCTGGACGGCGGGCACGCTGGACGCGGAGCAGGATCCACGCAGGGGGCACAGAGCGGACACAGTTTTCTTCGTTTGCGGCTTTAACGCGATGGGTAAGTTCAGAGTTGGATCCTTTTTTTTTTTTTTTTCTTGACAGGGATGCAGCGGACGGTTCAGAGTTTTGCGGGTAGGTGAGGACATCTGGTGACTTATTGTCCCGTGTGTGAGGTTTTGACGCGTCGGTTCGGCTCCCAAACGTGAGCGGAGACCCCGGAACAGGGAATTATGCGACCGTTACGCACGAGTTTTGGCAGTTGGGAATTTAGCCTGCATGACGGCAGGGGCAGCTACCAGCCTGCTGTTTGCGTGTAGTTTTCAATCAAGTATCGCACACAAGTCTGATTCTTAGGTTGGTCATTAAAAGTTAACTTAAAAGGTTAAGAAATACAAAAAAAACGCACAGAGTAGATGCGTCTTAGTGCAACGGCAGAACTTTTTTAGGAGTTTGGGCTTCGCGATGCTCTCAATGGAAAGATGTGCAATAATACATACGAAGATAGTTGGCTTTTTGCTTAATCTAATTGTTGTGGTACATTCGAGAATATTCTGCAAATGCTCTATGAGCAACGCGGTTGGCGGCCTGTGTGCGGTGGGCCCTGGGTTGCTGGTCTTATTGTTGTGCCATCTTGTGTGTTTGTTTTTGACACCAGAGCCTGCCTTCGGTGAGGTGAACCAACTCGGTGGTGTTTTCGTGAACGGCCGGCCGCTTCCCAACGCCATTCGGCTCCGGATTGTGGAGCTGGCCCAGCTCGGGATCCGGCCTTGTGACATCAGCCGGCAGCTGCGGGTCTCCCACGGCTGCGTGAGTAAGATCCTGGCCCGCTACAACGAGACCGGCTCCATCCTCCCGGGGGCCATCGGAGGCAGCAAGCCGCGGGTCACCACACCCACCGTGGTCAAGCACATACGGACATACAAGCAGCGAGACCCGGGGATTTTTGCCTGGGAGATCCGGGACAGGCTACTGGCCGATGGGGTTTGCGACAAGTTCAACCTGCCCTCCGTCAGCTCCATCAGCCGGATCCTGCGGAACAAGATTGGGAATCTGTCCCAGCAGAGCCAGTACGAGTCGGGCAAGCCGGCGCCTCACCCCCCGCCCCAGCCCACCTTACCCTACAACCATCTATACTCCTACCCGACCTCCAAAGTGCCCACTCCTCCAGGCATGCCCACCCTCCCCGGACACATGGCCATGCATAGGATATGGCCCTCGTCGCACTCTGTAACAGATATTCTGGGGATACGGTCGATTACAGAGCAACAAAGTAAGCATGGCTGCACGGGGGCGGTTTATCGCGTTTGTTTATTGCACCGCATTTAAACATCTCCTTTAGGGACTCTGCGTGCCAAACAGCGAAGGTTTTTTTGGAAGATTAAGGTGTATCTAATCTTTAAATTGTCATAAAAGCCTACCGAATATGTCAAATGGAGCGTTAGAAACTCTCCATTAGGCCTTTTGACCTATACCTGCAGATATTAATTTGAAAGGTGGCAGGGAAACAGATGTCTCCACTTGAACTAAAAGTAATAATTATGAGGTGAATGTGGACTATGAGAGGGCGGATAAGGAAAGGTCAAGTGGAAAGGAGAAATGAGGCGCGCAGTGCGCAATTTGGAGCAAAACCGTGTATCCTGAGACAAACGGGCCTCAAGGTCCGCAGCAGCGTGCGTAAAAACGTGTTTTGTGCCTGGCGTTGTGTTTGTCCTGTGGACTGTGTGTCCTATGCAGGTAGGCCCAGATAGCTTTGCTTTGTACTCAACAAGACCACAAATGTTTTGGAAACAGCGAAACAGGATCCGACATAAATCAGTGTTAATGGTCGGCTCGGTGGTGTGAGAGGGATTTTCTGCGAGCCTGTTTACCGGCGGCAGGAGGAGAGGGGGAGCTGTCAGTCCGCCTGCTGCTGTCAGAACCCTGGCTCCTCGCGCACAAGTTCCAAACCGGGCGACTCCAACAAGATAAATGTAGGGCAGATACGCGCGAGGAATCGCGAGGAGGAGGACTGTGTTTTGAAAGTCTGCCGCTCCAAACAATTTATGCATTTCCAAATTATTAGCAGATGTTTGTGGCAGCTTTTTTTTTAACACTGGGATTTTAAAGTTCATTTGGTGCCGCGAGAACTGGTTTGAACCGAAGCACAAAAAATCACGTGAAAAAGGTGCATTTAGAATGTATGGGGAGTAGTTCGTGCTTAACAAACATGCAGGCTTAAAATAAGAAACTGTTCGAATAGGAATGGGGATACGTAGCCCACACAAAGCCTTAATAAATACAAATTCAAAGAGGGGTCCAGTGCGTCAAGCATACATTTTTAAACGTGTCTAGCAAAAACTTACATTTAGTTTAAAGTTAATGTGTCGTTGGTGGGGTTGCCTGCATGGTGGACGTTTGGAGAGTTGAAAAATAGCCAAATTCATTACGCTCCAAATAGGAAGGAAGTAAATCTAATTTGTCCTCCACGATTTGATGGGCTTTAGTGTCCCTGACCCACCAGAGAGTCGTATTATGTTCTTCAGCTGGGCCTCATTCTTCATCTGATCCTCAGGAGGAACCTACACGTTTGGTAAAATTCTGCCTAAGCATTTTATGTTTATGAAAAGGGGGAAAAAGACGGATAATTTAACTTTTTTTTTCCATTATCAGCGTTAATATTTAAACATCTAAAAATAAAACAAAAAGATAGAAGGCAGGAAAAAATAAAAGACGGGAACTCATCAGTGGAATGTGCCTATATTTATAATGTAAGCTATTAAAGTTATATCAAAAGTAGAAACTTACCTTTTTATCACAATCTGAGAATTTTTTGCCAAATTACTAACAACTATACAAGAATATAATCACAGTTCTCAGATAAAGATAAATACTTATTTTCAAAGGAATAAATTATTATTCAACCACAAGCATTTCCAAAGATTTTACGCACACGACTCTTATCAGCATAACGCCATTCGTGCGTAAAACGACTGAACCAGCAGGCTTTGGTGAGAAAATATCACAGGGCTGAATTTTTCTTATGCAACCAGGCCTGTCTGCGGCCTGTGCCGCTTTTTTTTAAAAAACAGAATACTTTAAACCTCGTTCCTGACCTTCCCTTTTCTTCTCTCTTTCTCTTTTGCCCCCCCAGTTAGTGACAGTCCATCCTTTCCCAGCACCAAACTAGAAGAATGGAGCGCTATAAACAGGAGTAATTTCTCATCAGCAAGCTCTCCGCTAGTCAATGGCATGGATAAACCGCATTTAGAACCTCAAGCAAAATACACACAGGTAAAACGTGGACATGTCCCTTTTTTGTGACCTCCAATCGAAATTTTTTGAACGGCTAGACCATTAACCCAACAAAGTATTGATGTATTATACATCTATGATTATTAGGTGGTCAGGAAATGTCCCCTTTCAACAATCCCTCTGTTGGTTCGGGCATAATGCTGCATTTATAATATCTTACCATTTCTTCTTTGGCATCACAACTTAGGTCTCCTGGTTGTTCAGCAGTTTTCATAATTACTAGGCAAGCTGCAGAAGAACTTATACATTTTCGGCTTTAAAAAAATGTTTTGCATTTGTAGTTACCTTTTTATTTTAAGCAAACGCAGAGCTGATCTGCACAATCACTGCTCTCCGTTTTCAGTCTCCTGGTAAATTATGCTACAAGACAGAAATTCAGTGGGGTAGTTTTGAGTGCTGTAGTTAAGCTTTCAGCCTCTCAACTGTGTCAAAGCAACAACCAACGTCACCTCGAGGGGCTTATTTTATCTCCCCCTCTCTTATTTAAAATGACATAAATTGTGGTGAAAAGAACGAATTACATTTCAAATTATTTACACGTTGATAAAGTCAATTTCCCCCGCAGCTTAAATTTCAGTTTTCCAAATGGTTTACCAAAAAGAAAAAAAAAAGAACAAAAGTAGGCTTCTAATTTCACGTGGGCTGTTTTACTTCGAATTCTTTTTTATTTAAACTTCACAAAAGTGATTTTTAACCATGAATATTTACAGACTTAAATTAGTCTTTTTAAGATGAGTTTAAAAATGGGCCGTGATGACAGGGGGCCCTTCTTGCGCATGCGCGCTTATTGTTATTAAAAAAAACTTTTCACCATTTCCAGGCGCTCACAACCGTCGAAACGTTTCCACGAAGCGTGATTTATGTCGCCACTTTAATTCAGGGGAATTTCAGGTAAACCCGACACGGTCAGGTCGGCTATTCAGAATCCTGAGCGGTTTGCCAGGCAGCTGCAGAAAAACAAGCGAGACGTTAAATGCAGAAAACAACAACAACACACCAAAAGGGACGGTTTACAGCGCGAGAAACAAAGCCCGGGGAGGCCGCGCCTCTGCAGCCTGTTGAGACGCTCAACGGACCTGACAGTTCTTTCTTTTCTCCATTTCAACTTTTAGAATTTAAAAAAAACAAACGCTGTCGCTCTGGCAGGCTTTTCTCCGCAGTCTGAACCAGGGGGCAACTTCTGCAAATCAGTTTTTCTGCATTTTAGTAATTGTTTGAATATCGTGGGGCCCGCATCCACTGAACCTCTCTGGTTGTGGGTCTGCGGGTGGAGACGTGTGGCCTGCAGGAGCTGGTCAGAGGACCGGGATAAATAGATGCGCCTCTCAGGTTCTGCTGAAAGTCACGTGTTCAGTGTTTGCGGCTTCTCCGAGCTGATCTGATAATTACAAATCTTGGAAAACATCGATTAAAAAAAAACTATACATTTGGTTAGCATTTTTTAAAATATATTTGTGCTAAACAGTGTGTTTAGAGCAGGATTGGTTATGATTAGTTAAATGTGAAAGGCGTAAAAGTTGCGTTAGAATTAAAGCGAGTGTGACCTTTGGCCCATTCATGATACTACTGCTTTGGTCTGCATGTACATTTGTGCGTTAAATCGGCAGCCTGTGTGGGCTATATGTTATCAGATTCTTAAAATCCAACAGTTTAATTTATTACACAGGATTCCCCGAAGTATATATATAAATATTCTTTTAAAAGGCCTAGTGCAGAGGGATGGACCAGTCAGGTACACAAATCCAGTGCTGCAATCTGAACAGGAGCTGGGCAATAAATCCACCTTTTATAAACCTTTTTAATTTTGTTGATCTTGTGTCAGATGGGTGTTGACTGTGCCGTGAGGTCATTTCTTGAAGTAGTGAATCACGTTAAACTGAAAGGCTGTTTACATGGCATATGCTCTGTATGTGTGCAGGCAGCTGTGTGTATATACTGGTCCTGTGTGCTATACACAGCGCTTCTCATTTGTGGAACATCATCTTGTTTGGATTGTTATAGATGAAAAAACACAAAGCAAAGCTTGTTTGGCACTTAATGAAATATCATTCTGCAGCCTAAATTTGATCCAAAGGCGACACAAACATCCACCAGCGCTCACCCACAGACTCCCACAACCATCGTGCACCACAATGGAATACTCACACACACAGATTTAGATTGTGCTCTACATTTTTGCTTTACACTCTGAAAAAAAAAAAATTACATGACATGTTTTCTTAACATATATTAATCTAAAAGAAGCAACTCGAGATAAACCAGAAATGTATGAAAATGAGGCAGAGGAAAAGAGAAATAGCCAAATGTAGAAATAATTTGCTGTAGTTGCAGACCACCCGTGAACAAAAATTCTGCCTCCCTGCTCCAGATGCTTTAGTGAATTCCTCAAGTTAAATTCTGTCACCGTGCCAGAGAAGCAAAGCCCATTCATATTCTGAACTCTGGGCTTGCCTCATTCTCTATCATATTTCCCCTCTTTCTGCCTTTTCACTCTCAATCTAACGTAACATCTGTTTTGTTGCCCCCCCCCCCCCCTCCCCCAGCTGGCGTGCTATATCAATGCCACTGGTAGAACGTGCACTTTTGAGTGGAAAACAAGGCCCGTACAACGACTAGCAAATGTGCGTGTATGGTTTTTAATACAAGTCTAATATGTTCCAGGAGCATGTGAGCACATAATTGGTCATTCATGCTTTCATCGAAATTGGAAAAATGTTAATTTTATATGATGGCTGTGAAGTCTGCTGTTTATAATTCAACCGTGCCTTCACTCATTTCTTCTGCGGTGTGTGTGTGTGTGTGTGCCATATATATACTCTCTTCATTTAAACCCAGCGTTTTTTGGCACTTAAAACTTTGCACACATGACCTTCTTTTTTTATATATGTTCGGGGAGGGAATGCATTGAGCAAGACGGAGAGAAATTTAGTTAGGGCCTCATCAGATCTGAAAGGAAATTCTTCACCGTCTGATCCTCTCCCTTCTCTCTCCGCTCCTCTCTTTCATTTCCAGACGCCGAGTGGATTGCCCACAGTGAACAGCTATGTCACAGCACCCAGCATCCCACCCTACCACCCTCCCACCCAAGTGTCACCCTACATGGGGTACAGCGCCACCACGTCGGCCTATGTGACCGGACCCACGTGGCCGCCGGCCAGTGGCAGTGCTCTATCTCCCCACAGCTGTGACATTGCGTCCCCTCTGGCCTTCAAGAGCATGTCAGTAAACCGTGACGCCATCCACCCGGTCGCCGCCTCGGCGCTGTGACATCAGCTGGACGGAGCGATGGTGGAGAAAAGATGTGGGGAGTGGGGGTGGTGTGAAAGGGAAGAGCCTCTGAGTTTGCTCCCCGTTGCTTCATTCCACTCCCTCTGCCACACTTCCATGAAGGACTCGGGGCCCTGGGATCCAGGTTTGCGCTGCTGAGCATGAGACCCCCTCCACCCCCCCCCCCCCTTCTGCTCATCTCTCAGCTAGACCCTGCGACACAAAGGACAAAGGAGTAAACAGTCAACACAACAAACCTGTTGAATAAAAGAACTTGCAGGGCAGGTGTTCTGACGGACTGGTGTGTGACTGCCTGCTCCACACATCAACGTAATTCCTCTCAGATACTTTACTGCACACTTCTGCAAATGTCTTTGGGCAAAATGGGGTAATGTATAACTTCATGAATATGCAATCAAAGAAAAGGGAAAACACTTTGCATGAGTGTTTCAGGGTGCTTTTTAAATTGCCATTGTTTTTTATTTCAAATGTTTGTATGCATTCTTTGTTGTTTTGGATTTGATAAAAATGGAGCATAGTTTTCCCATTCCTCTAAAAATGTTCTCTATGCCAGAGTTCCTCAGAGAAGTTTATTTATTAGATTAAGGTACGCTGAATGAAGTGCAATTAGCCTTACAGAAACCATGGAAATCTCCACGCACATTTGGACAAAATTGGCATTGGTCTTATGTTGGAGTACAGAGCATTAACAATTGACAAGTGTTGCACAATTAAATTGAATGTATCTTATTAAAATGTTTGGCTGTTACTGGCTTTCTAAGAAATTTGTAGTTGTTTGGGGAATCTTAAACACAGAGTACATTTATGCACATCTAAAAATATTTGAACCCCCCCTCCCCCTTTCTATCGGCTATGCTAAAGCCAGGGTAATGAGGTCTTTCTGGTTTGTTTTACATGAATAGGAAGCTGTTTTTCATAAGAAAAAAATGTGCGTGCTCTCGCAGAGCCTCGGCTTTCACCTTCCATGCGTCACGGATCATTAAGATAGTTAATACGAAATGTCTTTGAGCACACATTGTTTGTCGCAGCATTGAGCAGTTCTAAAAAAAATCTTTTGGTCATTAAAATAATTCAGATCGTTCTCACCTCGTTGAGTTTAATTAGAGCTTTTCTGTCACTGCAAAAATGTCTGCACTTTGGCCCTATGAAAACGCAATGTATAGGTTGAATTAATATATTCACAGCATAATTAAACAACATTTGGCAGCATATATTATTGCAAAAAAATAGAAATGACCCAAAATAAATAAGTTATTTTGTGAGATATGCTTCGGTGAAGATCTGCCATCTTTTCTAAACAATTTAATGTCATATACATATATTGGAACTTAAAATTTTGATTTTATAAGAATTTTTCAGTTGTGTTTTGTGAAGAAAAAATTAAAACAAAATGTTAGTTGCATTAAACTTTGATATGCAAGCATAGGCCTGCCAGACTCCCGAGGAGAGGCTCATCGGCCTGCAGCCTCTGAAGGTCCTCAGACCTCCAGCAGCCACAGAACGGGCCCAACAGGGCTTGTTGGGACCGAGTTAAACAGGTCAGCAAAGGGGACAGCTGACAAATTAGCAAAATAATGAGAAAATACTTGAAGTTTTGAGAGTTGAAAAGTCTCGGGTAATAAATTATCTGCCGAGCCTGGCGTGCCCGGTCTAGCCCTGTAGTGGAAAGCAGGGATTTAAAAAAAGAGAAGTGGGGTTCTAACATGGAGGTGTAGATGGTTAACTTGATAAAGTTGCTCACCTGCTGCAACGTCACATTGCTGCTGACGTTTCGAGGAGGGTCGATCTAATTATGGCTCCATATCTCTGTCCATCCGGTGTAGCAGCGTAAACAGTCTCTTTCGTGTGACAGTGTCAACAGCCCTGCCCCATGCAGGAGCTGATTTGACTTGTAAAGCAGTGTTCCCCGCATCCAGTGGTCACGGACCGTTGCTCAGGGATCGTAGTGTTTTTTGACCGTACGTGAACCACATCACAAGGACGTGATGATCACACACTGGCTGTACCAGCCAGCCGTCACGGCCGCCCCTTTACCACCCACCCCGCGTCATGAGCAGCAAATGATAATTAACTCTCAGATGGCATGAAAGAGTCGTTACGTGCCAAGCCCCCCCCCACCCCCCCCCCTCCCCCATTCCCACACAAAAAAAGGCCCAAAAGCTTTTCCTTCTGACTAAGCTACAAGAACTGCTCAGTATTGTTAGCCTTCTCTGACTCACACATCAACACCAGATCCTTTTAACCGACACCAGTTTCTAAAAAGTAGGTGCAGAAACTTTTCTAGGGAAGAGGGGGCTTCTTGAAAGTCTGACAGTTCTTGCTAACAATCTAATGTTGGTCAGCTTTACTGTCTTAAAGGGGTAGTTTTTAAAAATAGGGGCAGACATATGTTTATAATTAATAATGCCGAGACTGACTTCGGTGTCATATGGTTATCTTTACTTCTCCACATGCAATCAGAAACAAGACAGCCATATGCAAAGTAACACAGAGCAGAGAATGTTGACACTGGCTGACTACAGGACTCCACGCATGTTTCTGCTCAATGAACATTTTTAAAAGAAGCTGACGACAGCCAGAGTGTTTTCTTAATGTCTTAAAACAACTACGTTGAGCAGACAGGTGAGCAAAAGCTCTTGAAAAGGGGGGAAAAAGAAAAAAAAAAAATTAGCAGAGAAATCACGGCGCGTCTGCCGCCATGCCTTTGTGTGTGCATGCACGGCTCGCTGCTTTTTACATGTCGTGCAAACGCCGCACATTTTCATATGTATTAATCTTTAACAGCATCTGCATTGGGACAGACAGGAGGAGCCATGCCCAGATTTCAGGCTTGTCAGAAAGGGGTCACAGAGGTGAAATGTTCCAGAGGAGGACAGGGAAAATCCACCAAAAGGGTGTGAAGAAAAAGGGGAGAAGATTTCTGCTGCTGATGATTTATGATCAAAGGTGTGCAGGGAATTCAGGCAAAGGGGTGGCTATGTTGCCGTGGTTACCAACAATACAATCACACATGTTACAAACTGTCAAGTCTGAAACAAACATCAACCGTGAGCACATCATTACAAAAAAGGACAAGTTAAGTGCTAACAATTCCATCAGTCTGCAAGCCACCGTTGTTAGTCTGTCACCACAAGCCTCTGGGCGAAAAAACAAAAAAACAAAACAGGAGCTGTTGGCACAGAGACACTCCCACATTAAGGATGGCTGTCAAATGCCAACGTGGCTCAGTGGGAGCTAGCACCAGATGAAGTTTATGATGAGTGTCTTTGAGAGCATGCTCTGCGCTTATGGCTGCTCAACAGGTGTGTGCGCGTTTGCATATTTGTGGAAGAGATGGACTGGAAGAGGGAGGGAATGTGTGCGGCCACATTTGAATTTCTTCAGTCTTGGGCTTGTTGTTTCAGCTTGCTCTAAAGCTGTACTCCACTCTGTGGCACGGAGAGAAAAGACTGACGTTCGACTGGCTAATGCAGCTTCTTTAGCTGACAGCTCTTCAAACAACAAAGTGCTGGATGGGGGTGGGGCTGGGGGGGGGGGGGGGTCATGACAAGAGGGGGGATCATGGTTTGGTAAACAGAGGAAAGCTGATATGCTTATTTCAACGCCAAGCTGTAACCCTCCCAGTGAAAACATGTGACAACACAAGCCTACTATTAAAGGACAAGCAAAGGTATAGCCCATCCTCAGCACAAGCCAGCACACACGTATACATAAACAAAGCGGGATGACTTTCTTTTCCCGTTTTATTTTCTTTTTTTACCAAATGAATAAAACTGTCCAAACGATTAAGCAAAAATACAAAAAAAACATGGCAAATCAATTAAACCTTTTCCAAATAAAAGCTTCAAATTAAAGATGACAAACTATTTATGTGGAGTACCTGGAACACACTGTGTTCCCATTTCTATCAAAACCTGAGGCAGTAACTTGAATGAATACTGAAATGTGTTCAAAATACATGTATGGGATAACAAAGACCTGCATACAGTAAGTATGAAAAACCCAAGGCGACTTGATGACATGCTTTAAATAGTTCGATTCTTCTATTTGATAGTTCAGCCATAAGATGGACCATATTCCCATTTAGTTGCCTGCTGTGCATTTGCTATGGGAGAAACCCGGCCTTTAGGGGGACATGGGGTTTGCCGTTCCTCAGCATTCGGGTTGCTCAGAGCCCTCCGCAGATTGTTCATGCTGCTTTTTCAGTATTCTGCAGCTGCAGTGCATTGAAAGCACTTTCTTTAAAAAGGCTATGTCCTCTTCATTTTCACAAGGGTCATAGACAAATGTATAATCGCCACACACTAGTCAGACAAAGACATTTCAATTGAGCACAATTTCCAGTATTCCCATATTTGGGTAAAAGGACTGTCATGTAAAACTGAATATTCTTGTTGCCTCATGTCATTTTAACATTAAAACTTAAATATTTTTTTTGTATTTTATATGTATCAGAGTCTTGAATGTGTTAAATATGCAAATTCTCACAATCACGTTTGTAAAGCTCTGCTTGGCGTGCAGAGGTTATTCCCATATTGTTTGTAAGAATCCCCAACCTTAAAGCAGTTAGAGGACTTTAAAGAAAGACATGAAAAAATGTGTGCTAAAACTTAAAGCTTAGGTTTGAGGAGAAAATTAAAAAAAATTGTTCTGATGTTATGAAAAAAAGAAATAAACAAAAAGAAAAAAGAAAGGGAAAAAAACTTGGGAGGTTGTGCAAGCACATGTGTGAGACTCTACAGAGCCAGAGCTCGGATCGTTTATGGCCGGCTACAGTAGAAAAAAGGCCATGCAACAAAGTAGCCTCAGTGGAAAAAATCTAAATTCTTGCATTGTCTGTTGATATCATTACTCTCTTAAAATATTGTTTCATATTATATCTGCAGGGTAAATCACCTGAATGTGAAGGAACGGAATTTAACTGGTTTACAAATCATTATTTTTACCAGTTACTCTTTAGCCATCCAGATACATATTCATAGACCAACAGCATCACTGCTCCACCTACAAGAACATAGGAGACAGCAACAGGACAGTCAAGTCAACAAGACAAAGGCTTTAGTTCATATAAGTAAGAGACATGAACCTCGTAAAAGTAAAAGTTATTGAACGATACTTCAACAAAAGGGTTTAATCAATTTTTTGCAAAAGATATATACTAACTTTTTTAATGTAGCAACATGTAGACACAGACACACGTATATGTACCTTCTGTACGGAATAAAACGTGGAAAAAAAGGTGAGTACTTCAGTATAAGACGCATAACAAGGAGGAAAAAAAATTACCTGGTCCAAGTCTCATTATCTTGGGCACTAATCCCTTGTATAATGCCAAGTATCTGGAAAATTAAAAAAACAGCACTTTGTCATCATTTTGAACAAGCCCATTTCGGTCAATATTTTTGTTGCAGTGTTATGTGGTGGTTGAAGTACACTTAAGTACTTTACTGAAGTATAGTTTTGATGATCGTTTCTGCTTTTCTGATGCACTTGAAATTCCTTAAAAATTAACAAGAAAATGTTGCAATTTTTACTCTGTAATTCTTGATAACTTCATACAAATGTAAAAATGCAAAATGAAGCATAATATATAAGCCTGAACTACCAAGACCTTATGGATGATTAGAGCAAAATTCTCAGTAATTATATTCAGGTCTTGACTAGATGTAATTTAAAAGAGACTCCTCTAGAAAGCAATTCATTGCAATTCTCAATAATAACATGCATTATTGTGAGCAGGATTATTGTTTATGAAATGTTGGATGATTTAAATTATGTTCTTTTGGGGCCTCTAACCTTTGCATGCATGCATGCCTGTGGTGTGCATGAGCTTGCTTGCTTGCTCGTGAATGCATAAATGGGAGTGAATGCATAAGAGTTCCTCTCTGTCTGCAGGCCTGCCAGTCGGTCACCCCATCAGGGACTAACAGCCAGCACTGACAAGTACCTGCCTCTTAATGCATTCAAGGTGATCAGTGGCTGCCTGCCTCTGCCTCGTGCTCCCTGTCCCGCTCCCTGCCCCCGCCACTGATGGCGTTAATAAGGCTCGACCCACTTCCTCCCTGCCCCTCTGTCTGATTAGATTGACCTGTGGAGCGCCGCGCGGCTCGTTAGGGTCTGCTTAACGATGTCTCCCATAGGGACCACTAATTAGCTGGGACTGTGTTGTGTTAGAGAAGGGGACTGGATGTGGCGGGGGTGGTGGTGGTGGGCAAACTTTGTGCACCCCTGTGACGACAAAGTTTCAGTGCTATTCTCGCAGCAACCCCCAACTACAAACTAACAACATCCACTAACTACAAACATCTCGCAGGGTCTTGTCTAGGGGAGCTGCATGTGGGAAAGTGGAAAGCCTGGGGCAGTTCTTGACATAACATACATCTTTCCTTGACGCTTTCATTCAGAGATGTCATTCTCTGAGGCTGGAAAATATGTCAACAGTTAGTATAGAAGTGACAGACTGCAGAAATGTATGATTACACTCGTGGGGAGTGCAGCCCAGAATCTAACAGCAGGGTTTGGTTTCCATTCATGGGATCACAGCTTTGCATCAACCTTTTCAGGCACTTCCCTTGTAGTTAGTGTAGGAAACTTACACCACACAACAAAAGGCTGCTAACTTGTAGCTGCAGCTGGTACATCTGTCTTCTCTGACAGCTGGTTTGGCAGATAGTCAACTATCAATTGCAAGCCAAATAGGCAAAGTGGTTCATTAATTCTTGGATGAACTTGTGACGGTGTATCAAGGACTCGTCCACTTATCCCCCCCTCCGTTCGTACCCTTCTTCGCGGTACACCAGTGCCATGGTCTGGAAGCAGGTGCGATACTTGATCTCTCCTGGCACTGGCTGGGGGCCTTGGATGCGGCTCTTGGCTACGTCGAAGGGAATATTCACACAGGAGGAGATAGTCCCAGACAGTAGGCCAATAGTAAACTTCCTCAGGAACTCTAAAGCAGGGTCCTGTAAAGAACAGTTTCAATGGAAAAGGCTTGTTAAACATTTCCTGAGTGAGCATCAAGTGCTAGATTTGATGCCATGCAACGTAAATGACAAATAAGAACATGAAAAGGCAACAAGCACATTGTCAGCTACGAGATATGATATACATATACGTACACCAGAGAAAGTGAGAGCGAGCATGAGAGGGCCGGAGCGTATGATTGCAAAGCTGCCATGAAAGCCCTCATCATTTTATGGTAGCGGGGGGCAGATTAGTGCTTCCCGACTGTGGAGCAGCGTTCTGATTGGCTGAGCAGAAGCACATATTCTTCAAGGAGCCAAGACGCAGGATTTATAAACAGGGTTCATGCAGGCAGACTGAGGAGGCATATGGGGACAATTTGGGTAATTGGGCTGTGACTCGGCACAGGGGTATTACTGTACCAAAGAAGCCCAGACTCAAGAGAGCTCTGACAGCTAATTGGCCAGGATATTTTTACAAATGACAGCAGCCTCGATGGTCCAGGCCTTTGTCAAGTGGCTGGACACCCTGGAAGCTGTGGTAAATCAACAACTAATCCCACTTTTTCCCCCCCAATTGAGATGAGGGGATGAGGGGGCGGGACATCACCGCGATCTAAGTACACCTATCAACCCACTTCCTAACAGCTTAAAGCAAACATCTCCTCACACATCCACTTGTGAATGATGGCCTGTGAATGCTACCTGCTGACCGGACACGGTTTTAAATGTCAATACATCAGAGGCCTGTTTTCAACATTCAGAACTTGGCTATCGCGTGCTGCTGCCCGAACTGCTTTTTGGAAATACCGCTATCAGCTCAGGCCGCACGCTGTCAGGAGCCACAATATGCATGATTTACTGCCTAATGCTGGTCGTTAGCCTCCGACACATAGGATCACTCCTTTGTAAATATAGATGGCTCACTGCCAAAAGAAATGGCCATGCTACATGAAGGCAGCTATTTGAGTCAACCGGCCACATAATTGTCATTCACAGAGGATGGCCACGTAGTTATATGCGCATCATGCACCAGTGGAAAAATGTTGAAAATATAGGAGTCTGGCCGCCCACTGTAACTTCCTCTTGAAAGTAGTACCGTTGTCTGCTTCCAATTAGTTCATTGGAGTTAATCTAATGCTCCAGTTTGTACATGTGGAGCTGGCGTATGGTAACGTTTTCATTAAACAAAATTAACTTTTGTTTGGGCTATCAGGCTCTGCCGGATGTGTAATTTGAAACTTTGAGGATGTTATGAAGAGCAAATAGATGAGGTATTAGCCGAGCTGATCTTAGAAGCTCGTCTCTTGATTTTTGCTTCCTCCTCACCATGCAACTAATCAAACTGTTAAATGCTTGTTATTCTCCTCCAACAACGTGGCTAGGACATGTGAGTATCAAACAGCCTGAGGCAGGCCTGGTCTCAGCTGAGTTTAGGATAGCAACACGGAAGGAGGTCAGAGTGTGACCTTAGATTTATTTTTGGGAATTTTACCTGGCTGGTCGGAACAGCTTCCTTGACATTGAAATAGAAGCCAAAGTAGATCATGTTGAAAACTCCATGGCGCCCCAGTGTTGATGTTAAGCCTTTATTCAGACCCCTCAGTCCAAAGCCGTCTGACTTGATTATGCGTCGTGCTTGGGCAAAAGCAGAGGGTTGCTGCAATGGAAAGAATTTACAAAGGACTTGTCAAAGGGCTAAAAGGGAAATGCGCAAAGCTACCTAAATTCTACATGCGAAGAAAGTATTTCAGTTAAGTCAACCTCTTTGAAGGTGTTTCTGTTGGCCTGGAGACTGACTTTAACCACTTCAAATGGGTTGACGACAACAGCTTCGGTCAAGCCTGAGCCAAGCCCTGCTACAGACAGAGCCTAGAAGGAAGAGGGACACTATTTAGAACCCAGAATACACACATTAGTACAAAGACAATGTAGACTGACAACAAGTCCTGGCCATAAGAGCTCAGTGATAAATTGCCGCGTCATTTTCAGAACTTTGTCTTTTAGGTGAAAATTTCTCTTTCTTATGGCCTACATTCTTGTTGCTTGAGCCATTCTTGAGAACAAACAAGACACCTGTGTTTGTTATCACTTGACAAATTGTTAAGATGACAGATACCAGAGAATGGAAGGCGACTAAAAGTAGGAACTCAAACTCTTCGTTGACATGATGTTTGAGAATAGAACACCTGAAAGTTAGGAAAAAAAATGTATTCACTCCTCCGCTAATCTCAACTATTACAATAGTTATAGTTAATAGAGTATATATCAACATCTGAATAAAAGTGAATGCTGCAGCAGAGTGTTTATGTGCAGTGGGCTGTATTTCTTCGTGTGCACATGTGAGTACTTGCATGCTCATTGAGAGGTGTAATGGGAACATGTCGTGAACATGTCTCTAGCTCATTACTCTTCCTGCATCTTTATCCTGCTGTCAGAGCCGCAGGACCCATCCTCTCAGACATGCCTCACAGTGTTTACCCAGCGAGGCAGCCATGTTTTAATTCCTTATTTGTATTATTACTTTGTGTCCCCATTAATCAGAGTGAAAGCATTCAGCTGTGCCATGCTGAATAGGCATTCAGAGCCGATCTGTAATTCAGCTTCACTAATGATCTGAAGTGATTACAGTACTTGATACGTGCAGGCCTCTGGGGATATAAGGTTGGAAGCACTTGAGGAAGAGGTAGGGCAGGAAGAAGATAGTGTAGGAGGACGGTGAAGAGAGCATGATGGATGGGAAGAGTAAACAGTTCTCCTTCAACGGCTGCGAAAACAAGCCGAGGATATTCGCCTTGCTGAAAAAGCTTTGACACTGACTCGCAGGTATGCCATCCATCATGGCTGACGCTGCCTCGCCACCTGAAAAGGTGGTGACCACACCCCTGCAATGCGAACCTGTCTCGCCTAGGAGTATGACTGAATACAACAGTGTCTTGATCACTCAAGAAGTTTGATTCCACTAGTATATTCACAGGCTGTGGTGTAACCAGTCTCCAAAATAACAACCGTCATGCAAACACAGAATGGAGTATGTAAATAGGGATGGCACCATGTGTGGGTATTTTTTGCCAGTACTTCATCAAACAGGTTTTGAAATGACACACACACACAGCAAGGTTTTTGGTGATGGGATTTGACTTTATAATCAGCCTGAGGTGTTCAGATTATGGCAAATCGCACACCTTGGCTCATCTGATGTACAAGGGGGATGTGAACACAAACGAGGCCACTGAAACAAGCCAAGACAGGTAGGTTATGGAAATGGGCCAAATGTATGCAATGTTTTTGGTCGGGTAATAACACCACATTGAATTATCAGCATTTAGTCTGTAAGATTATGGATGGATGGATTTCTGCTATTAATTGTTGCACAAGGTCTGTTGTCTTATTCTCTTTTCTTTAATTTATTTTTGCTTAAAATGACTTCACTCAAGTTTTTGGGTGAGCACTGACAAAGTGACAAAAATCTAGTTTGAAACTAACTGATTTACAAAACGGATAGACAAACCCAAGAGCAGGTTTCGGTTAATGTTTGTGTTAAATTGACAGGTTTTTACAATTTTTTTAACATGAGCATGTAAGTGTAAACTGTGCAAACCATTTCTTATAAGAATACATGAGTGGGAACAATGATCAGATAACAATATTAGGCTCCAATCTATTCTTAGAGTGCTGTTTTTGTAACATTTGGTGATTCACTGATAATGTTCACGCAATGCCAGTCAGGAAAACAAAAAGAAGATAACACTGGCTCTGAAATAAAAAGAGCTCCTGACATTCTGCTGGTTCCACTGAATTGGAACAAAGAGGCACCGAGAAAACCACTGTAAAACTTTTCAAGGCTGCTCTGAAGTGCAAGATATGGTTCAACAGTTCAAGCTCATACACACAGCTGATGCTCAAGGAGGGTGCCAGCTACACACCCAACGTCTAATTCTTAAGATAAACCAAAACGGTAACTTCCTTGTTTAGATTCAGACTCAAGAAAAACAGCAACCTGAATCACACTGACGACTGTGTTCACATAGAACTAATTGTATTTTGTGAAAGATCTTACCAAGTTTTACAGGCTTTTATTTACTTTAATTAGACATCAGGGATACACTTGACATTTAAACGCGTCTGTTAGTCATCAAGGGTTTAACATTTAACAAAAGTGTTGTTCAGGGTTTTGTTCCCCATCTTTGCGCTAAAATATCTATTTTTAACTAATCCAATCTAAGATTTATGCTTGGGAAGAAAAAGTGGTGTTACAGTAGTTAAATGATGTAAATTCTCTAAAGTAAACACAATGAGTGTTTAAATGTCTTTAGTTTAGCAGTGATAGAAGCAAAATTCTAGTGTTCAAGTTGCCATGTGAGCAGCCACATAAAGGGAAGAAATGTAAAATGAGTGATACAGTAATTACCTCTATAAACGCACACAATTCTGCACAGCTGAAACAGTATTGACTTCTGAACACAAACAGGAAAATTTGCATTAATTCATTTGGCAGTCAAAATTATTTTTGGCAATGGTCTTTGCTTAAAATGCATTGGCAGTTGAGTGGGATTTTTGACACTGGGTGCAACATCTTTCCTGGTTTGTGCTATTTGTGTGTGTGTGTGTGTGTGTGTGTGTGTATTTTCATTCTGCAGATTAAGTGTTGCTGTGGGTTACTCACCAGCCCAGGAGACAAAGAGGTCAAATTCAATAACTTCTTGTACTGCTCAAAGGTAAAAAACTGCAAAGGAAAGATGAGGAATCAGGAGCAGCCAGGCAGTGTCAGCACCATTAAAGACTGACACGCATACACTCATGAATCTCCCCTAAAAGCCCCTATGGAAGAACATGGAAATTACTTTCAGATCACACATGAAAATTACACGTTGGATTTTAGAGATTTTGTCGTATTGGAGTTTCTAAAGCAGTCTTAAGCAGAATGTTCCACTGATTTGTTTATCTGAGAAAAATGCCTGCAGAGGCAGTTTCATTTGAGCTTTAATTTGCTTTAATTCTTTTCTCCAGACATTTCTCACCATCAGCAAGCTTTGTTTGCTGTGTGAGCGATTACCCCATCTTCACAGTGTGAGTGCTTATTTTCAAAGTTCACTTCGTCTCCAGCATCTCATTACAGGGTAGTTCAATGCCAAGCACCCGGCTCCCTCTGTGCCCTCCTCCTAGCCTCATCTCTGTCACCCCCACTGCATGTCAGCATTGTGCCAGCAACTCTGAGCCTTCCTGCTAATATCAAAAAGATGCCATTTGTGTGAGGGTTTGCTGTAAATACATGTATGTCAATATTTGGTTGGGCAATAGAGCAAACAGGAGACAGGGGAGGCAGACATTGTGGAAGCCGTAGTGTGGTTGATCAACATGTGTGTACCATGTTAAAGCAACTCCAGTCTGAGTGTTTTCATATGGCTGTGGAGAAGCTCACAATGAAACCAGATCCCGTTCGTTGCATGACACCCTGAGAGGCTTTTCAGCTTTCAATAGGCACATGCGCAATGCACATAACATTACCTTACCTTGACTGCTCGCTTTGGTGTCTCTGCTAAAATTGGAGGGAGGATTCCTTTGTAAAAGCCAAAGATTCTGTAGAAAGAGAAAATTAAACATACATTTTCTTTCTGAAATTCAACAGTATTTTTTAACTTTATAGTTAATCACCAGGTAATATACATATCCAAAAGACAAATGCAGACTTAGTTGTAGATTTTCGAGAAGAGGATTTCTGCAGTGTTTTAAGATACTTTAAAGTAAATCCACATTAAATTGGTCAGCACTAGCATCAAGAGACTGGATCTAATTTGATGTGGTAGTCAAGACTTTGACAACTGACACAAATCAAGCAAGTTTAATATATCTGGTCAGATGTAAAATCCCACCAATAAAAAAGGTATTACTGAGAGATAAACTGGAGATAAGGGAATATGTAGACCTCGATTTTTTCCTATATTAGTGGACTTGTGAAACGCAGGAAGAAGAAAAAAGGTCAACATTAATGCAGCAAAGCGTATATCCTGACAAATGAGACAAATTAATCCCTTTAAGTTCCAAATTCCCTTTGCAATAAATGTACTGAATTCATCTTTGCTTTCATGTGTAGTTCATATTTCAAGTTTAGCATGTGCTTTGATTACGCCAAGTGCTCTAAAGATTAAATTTAACACTTGTTAATACCATAGTAAAAAAAAAAAGTGAAGCACAGATAGGGAAAAGCAGGATAATAGGACACTATCTTAATCTTCCTTTACATGGAAAGTTTGTATTTTTTAAGATCTTGGGAGTAAAGCATTTTCTCGAAAATATGTTTGTCTCCAAGAGGGAATGTCAAGCCTGATTTTACAATCAGGCATCCGCATATAGATGTAGAAGCGTTATGAAAACAATGCATATCACAATAGATATGAAACATAAAAGTCACGCTAAAGATTATGATAGTTCTGCGTCTTCTGCTGTACTGTGCCAATTTCCTGATATATGAGACAGACTTCTATAGAATATACTGTATGATGACATGATTTAGAATTAAACCTGGCACCCCTTAAATGTCCCAGAATTCCCAAACCCAATTTGGACGCAGATTGAATAGGTTGTTGTGGAGAAAAGCAATGAAACATGCTACCAGTAACAACACTGTGAGGCTGTCAAACAACATTCACACAACATGTAGGCCCTTTGTTAAAGATTTTGTTTCCTTGTGTCATAATCATGACAAAAGCAGAAATAGAAAGCCCAGAACTGCTGATTGGCAGCAAAATGACCAAGACATATTTTAAAACGTCAAACCCAAGTAAACATGTTCAGCAGGTATATGATGAGGAAATGATTTAAGAGTGCTTTTTGGAGTATCATATACTGGACATTTCAAAAGAGAGTAACTGTATAATTAAGTCATACTGGTAGCTTTCCGTTGCCAGCCATGATTTAAAGCACAACCTGAGCCAGGAAAAATAATAAAGTTGTACAGTGAGTTATACATATCAAGATGTGCATCTATATATAACACAGGGGATATTTTAAAAGGAATCACTTGTATTCAATACATTTACAGTTTAAATGTAGGGCTGGTTAGATTGTTTTTTTTAGTATTTACACACTGCTTATACTATAAATTAATTCTGCTGTTGAACTATTCAGAACCTTTCAAAGTCTTGCACAATGCATGACAGAAATCACAAAAATGGTTAGCATTGCTTTCCTCACATAGACAGCTATACATAAAAGACTAAAAAACAATGTACATCTACACAAACACCTGACTTTTATGTATGCTTTGTTTAGCAAAGAGGGTGAGAGGCGTGTTTCGTATACATTTAGAAGTGCACACACATGCATTTCCCACAGCCTTCACTATAGGGAAAACATGGGTAGAATAAGTTCCTTTACTGAATGACAAAGTCAGACAACTTGTCATTCTAAACAAATTACACAGGTACTGGACTGATTTGAATATTTTCTGTGTAAACATTACGCCTGAACTTTCCTTTATGAGTTGTATGATGCTTTTTTCAGTTTGCGGTACTCTGCGATGACTGGCTCAGGCCCTTGGCCTCAAACAGAGAAAGCCTTAATAGCATGAAACAAGAGAGTCATACTGATTGCACTGACAACAAATCGTCACTGGCAACATCTAGATTCTAACTACCCGTATCCTGCTATCATTCTGAAATGTTTTTCTAAAGGGATTGCCTCAAAGTTAAACCGGTCGAACAGGTTCAATAACAAAACATCTTTTTGTGCACTTTTTAACACATTTGGCGAATCCAAGCATGAGAGGTTGAACAAAAGCTTGTTAGTGGGTCCATGCAACATGGAGTATTGACAACAAAGATAGCTGTGGGTGTTTTTTAATTAGAAAAAATTAGAATTTTTTTCAAAGCAAGACATACACACCTCAGCTCACAATAGAAAACAATAAGACGTCAGCAGAGAAAGGAGGATGTGTTATTAATAATTAATCATTATACTGAGGTTGAATTAGGCCATATATTTCAGTCATTCCCAATGGAAAATCTTCTACTGTAAATCAATTTGGCTCAAAATGTGTTTTAATCCAGAGCGAGAAATTGTGCTTTTCGGTCAAGATGCACTATCCCTTGAAAGAGTAATGTTTGCTTGATTCCATTTGGATATTTATAGATGGACTAAATGATATCTTAAGTATTCTCCTCAAAGACATCCAAACAAAGGACTTAAAGCAAAGTAGCAAAAACGGAAGAATGCACCTTTAATTGGGCTGTATGCATAAGCAAGTGTATGCTATCTGTGGACAAAAAGAACAATGTGGTGTGACTAACTACATCCCTGAATGGCCGGATCAGTTTTGTTTTGACAACACTCCCTACATGTCACCAGAGATGATCTTGGTTGATTGGAAACGACTGTAAATATTGTTGTTCCTGGGACATGTTTCCACTGAACATAACTGGAGAATGGTAGGGTATTATAGTTCCTCAGAAGTAACGCCACCCTCCATAAATGGCAGTGACCCACAGCTGATTATTGCGTTTTTTGTTTAACCGGGTCCCTAACCAAACAGGGTGCATAAAGACTAAGAGCTACACACATCATTACCAGTTTTGTCCGTGCTAACATCCATTATACATTTGAGACAAGACAAGAATACATTTGCTGCTTTTTTAGCCTATCAAAGAGTTAAGTTTTTATAAAGACTTTACAGTCCAGTGAGGAGTCAAATAATGTGAACAAAGGAAATGAATTAAAATAAGAATATTTGATTCACCCCAAAGTTAATTCTCAAATGTAACTCCTCCACCTCTTCGCTCTGGTCTAAGACAAAAAAAAGGATCTTGTTGACACAAATTCCACAAAGTGGTTCACCTGTTCCCAGTAAGAGTCATCGGCCATCAGTATTTCTGTGGATGGAAGGATTCTGAGTGGCTACATGGCACTAAAAAAACATGGTCTCAGATTTAGAAGGCATGACTTTAGCCATCTATTGTAGGCTAAAGGTCATGCCTTTTAAAAAGGCCAACAGAACATCATCTGCTAAAAGCAGGTTCTCAAACCTCATCTCTACAGCTCCATCCTGAGATCCTGTCTGTCAACACAACAAATGGAATCAGAGATAGGGTCTGACAGTCATTGTTAACAAACTCAACTTCGTGAGAGGATGTGGACATATGTCCTGGTTTAATTAGGGGCTAGAGCGTGTGCAGCCCAAACAACACCCAATAAGTCCTCTGAAAGTGGAAAGATTTCTTCATCTTAGAAGAAAATCCTATGTGGTTGCATGGGTAAAGATCAGGCCCACTGTCCACAACCCAGACAAATAGCACATTGCTCCCTCTGAATCAGACGCTCAAAAATCAGATGGGACCAGCGGACACTATCCTGGGGAATCTGAAAAGTAGGATTCTTTTTTCCACTTGTTTTCTCAAAGAAATATACCTCCAAAAATAATTTCAAATGTGAAGTGGGTCGTGGTGTTGGACATGGTACCATGCTCGTTAGGCATCATTATTTGGATTCCATCAAAACGTACTTTTCTGCTGATGCATCACCCGACGACAGGTTACACGGGTAGTTGGGGCTCTGAGATATGAAGCCCCGATAACGCCGGAGTAAGGGATGACTGCTTACGGGAATCCTTCACAGAAGCCAAAAATGAATCTCTCATATAGTTTGTGTAAACAAGTTATTTCAGTCAGACGGAAAGCCCTTCCCTCTTCTCTCTTTGTCCATGCAAATGGTGGCCACAGATTTCCCGGGTGTGGTCAGTCTGGGGAGCCACTGGGTGATGAAGGAGGAGTGAAATTTGTTACAGAACAAATATGGCCTCCAGAGAGTGGCCATCATTTGAATCCTGATTTGATTGCCAATGTAAAGTACACACTAAGTCCCTTTTTGTCTTTCCTAAACAAATGCCCTCCTGACACGGCGCGGGGGGGATGAGGTGGGAGCCAACTGGATGCAAGTCCGTGAGCAAGTTTGTGTTTGTTTGAACTACTATGTATAATTTGGCTTTCATTTTCATAAACCTTTCCTTTTTAACAGCCTCCATCTGGGGAGGACTCTGTCATTGATAGAGCTACGACAGACAAAAACAATCACAGCAACAATTAACCTAGAAAAAAGGAGTACAACGTGACAAAGCATTTTCATTTTCTTGTTTTAGAACAATCGTCCACAGGAAAATTGAGCCACCATGTGGAACATTTTCTCATGTAAACAGAGTATGCCTCATCTGCAGTTATTTTCACTTTCCCAGTAACTACTGTCACCTTGACAGGTGACAACTCAGCAGAATAACACAAGGCCACGTGAAAAAAATTCCTTTAGATTCTAGGAGATGTTTACCGACCTAAATTCATCCTTTATCTGCTGAACGGTGCTTCCCACTATGACAGGAAGTAGCAAAAGTACATGTTTTAGGCTGAATTTTGATGAAAACAGTCCAGCTGACTCGAGTGAAGTTGTGCAGTCCACCAGATTACTAGTGGTTCTTTGCTGGAAACTGTTCTGTATATTTGGACACGGAAAGCATGGTTAGAAGAGCAAAAATCTATCCCTAGCAGTGTAACTAAAGGTTAGTGGTTATTAATTCATGGCGAGCTTTTCTTCTTTAAGCATGTAAAACTGTGAGATAAAAAAACTAAATGTGTTGTCTAAAAATGTGAAACTGTCCCTTTAACCAAAGGCCTCCTCCTCAACATGTGTAATCTGGAGGACAAGCTTTTCTGCTCTTCCTCACTCCTTCATGCATACATTTTTTGCACGGGTGGTCCCAGGTGGACCCAAAGCCCCCCCCCCCCTCAAATTTAGAAAAGTCATTGTTCCAGTCTTTTTTTCCTTGATCTCTAGTATTTCTAACATTCTCTCATGACTCATTGGCCTTGTTGATATTTATGTGACCGTGCTTTGGATCCTGACGGTTGCTGGGCACAAGACGAGCAAAGAAAGCTTGAGAAAGGGGTCTTTTCTGTTTAACTCCAGACGGTAGCACTTAACACATGCTTGTGCTGCTTCACCCGCGTAGGATGGAAAATGAAGTGTGGCCTGTAGGACAATGCGCAACCAAGTGTTGGTGAGCATAGTTCACACAGTCACACAGCTATTAGCAAAGACGTATAATTTCATAGTACATTTAAAAGATTCCTTCGTTTCTTAGGCAAAATAATTCATGTGGATTTCCTTTTGTTAAACATGCAAGTACTCTCGGTATTGTTTTCGTGTGCAGTCTTCCGCTGTCTCACCAGTTAAATCCCTAAACTCAATAAGAGCTCCGGTTTCCTCCCTCGTCACCTCAAAAGGAAAGAGCGAGGCCCGGTGTTAGCTGAGTAGTGCCATAAGCTCGCTGAGAGTGTTTATTTTTAATAATAATTCTACAACAGTGGGGCCAAACCCTATTTATATAAATTATAACTAATTGGTTTGGCCTGGAGGTAATCCACAACGTGCTACTGGGGAGCGATTACAGACTCAGCAAAAATATACTGTAAATGATAATTGGCTGACATAACTGGAACCTTTGCTTCCGCTTTCACACTTTTTGGCACATATCTGTGCTTTGTTGTTTGAGCTTGAATGTACCTGGGTGTTTGAGGTTAAGCCGAAAGCATGGGCCTAACATCAAACTAGAAATTGTTGCAGAGTTCTCTGGAAATTCACGTCGGCCAACTGCCAAGAGACACACCCAAAAAGCATGTAGGCACAAAGGTGTCAAATGGCACATGGATAGTGTGTGTTGGATGAAGAGGGCACAGCTGCGAGAGCAGGACAACGGTGCCTGATGAATTCCAGCCAACTGAGGATTTGAAACTGTCACTAACCGCCCTCTCACCATGCGCTCACTCACACCTCACAGCAGATCAACTTTATATCCGCAGTAAAGCTGTCGACTCGCCATAAACAGAGCAAGTGGCAACCACTTTCTCCTACACCTGCACTGTCTCACAGAGCTGTCACAATGCTGGCAGAGGAGGGAGCACGGCAGAATGACCGTCTTTACTCGCTGTGTTCCCCTCTGATATGAGCTACAGTGAGAAATAGGATGGGCCCGCTGGGTTTGCTGCAGGATATGGCTGCAGGTTGACAGATGTGACAGCTTTTTCAAAGCATCACAACTTGAAACTCTGAGCTCTTCAGCCATGGTCAACATTAGATATACATTTCCAGAGTAAGTGCTTCTTTTTCCCCAAGTTTACGGGAAATAAAGAACCACATTCAAAGCTACATTTTATGTTTGCTTTCTCTTTGGACTTGACTGATACCATTTTAGGCTGATCTTTTTTGGTTTCCCTTTAACATTTTGGACAACGATATTTAAAAATCTGGCATGCAAGAAAAGTAGTCAAACTTAAAAAAAATTGCTGTTGGCCCTTAGAAACTGAATAAATAATTTGGGATTGAAAAAAGGCTGTGTGTAACCTACCCTTCATTGCGGAAAATGGTCCGGAAGCAATCTCCCAAGCCTTTGTAGCTAGTTGGGTCAGAAGCCCCTCTTTGGATCTGGAACCTGCAACGACAAAGTTTTCATTAAAACCTTTAAGCATTTTTGGCCCACAGTTTTAACCCTCCACGTGACGTTTACCAAAATAATGTTTTTGTTTTTCTTTTACCTCAAAGGACTTTGACAAGTGTGTAAAATACACACTAACAAATTCTGTGTTATCATTAATGAGCTCATTTCCTTCTTTATTCCGCTCTCCCTTTCATCTACTTTTTTTCCAACTCTGCAAAGATGAGAGGCTCCTAACACTAGGTCCCCCTCAGCACAAGGGAGAACTCAAACATTTATTTAACCCAACCAATCCAATTAGCCACCCAACACCCCAGGACCGGGCCTGTTGCAGCAAGCTTCTAGGAAACTAACATGCCAGTAAGCCAATTGTAACTGCTCTTCAGTTACGTGTAAATTTTTAATGTGGTGGGGTAAGTTGAGGGTGTTTTTGTTGTATGGCAAACATGCAGGCACTTACCTAATAAAGACTGGTGAGATGCGTGTAAATTTTTCACATGAGAGACAGTTTCGGGTGTAAAGGGAAAAAAAGGCTGATGTGAAGATATAAAGCCTTTCAGGCATAAATAATAGGAAAACAATCTATTTGTTTTTTGTCGCTTGAACCACATCCCAAAATTCTGCCTAAATGAAGAAAAACAAATATGTCTGAATAAATCTAAAAGTAATGACATAATTACTTAGGCGTCTGATAAAACAATTAAATAAGAGCAGCTTTTTACAGTGGGATAATCATTGACCTAGAAATGAGAATTTTTCTATTGATGAAAAAAAAGTTAGTAAGTATGAGGGCATAAAAAAACTAAGCAAAGCATATAGGTGGTAATGGGACAACAGAAAGATTCCCTCATATGGCTTCAACTGGAAGGTCACAAGGTCAGCAGTAAGTCGTCCATGCGGGTGCCTGTTGGGGCCATAAAGAGCCCCCGAGTTTCAGAGGAGGGGGAGTTTAGTGGGGTGAGCGGCCTTTCATATCGCTAACAGATTAACATCTTAGAGGGGTGTCCCTCAAATCCTACTTGGTGGATTCCCAAATAGCTTGTAACTCGTTCCTGAAAACCAGTTAACACAGCATAATAAATAGATGTCTGACACCATATTAAAGAGAAGAAAAGAGGGACCAGAGGTATGAGGGGATGGTGGAAGAAGGGGTATGGGAGGGAGGGCAAAGACCCAGAAGATTTAAGACTACTGGGGCTTGTAAACAAATTCAAATATGGCTTAATTAAAGTCATACGATGGTCAGGTCGAAGATGGAAGGCATGTGGTTCAAGATCTCCCCCTGCCTTTTTTGCTCTCCCCGTTTCGACCCGAACCGGCTCTGAGAAAGTGGGGTTGGCAGGGCCATGGTCCGGTTCCAGCCCCCTGACTCCACTTGTGACCTTGGGGTCAACTCATTTCCTCATGGCCCTCTTCTACCCTGCCATAAAAGCCAAGGACCAAACAGAAAGGCCCAGGGAGTAGGAGATAATAGGGAGAACTAGAAGAACTCGTGGCAGCAGGGAAACTATCAGGCCCCTGGCTAGGAAGTGGCTAATGTTGCTTTTCACAGCAACAAACAGTGGAAAATAAGACTCCAAGGCTCCGTCAATGTAGAAAGAATATCTCTTTTGTGGGTCTGTTATAGAAAAGGGACTCTAGTTTCCATTCACAAGGCCTCAGTGAGTAGGAAGATATATTGGCTGGATGAAGAGGAACAAGAGCTATCCCCTATATGACTCTGGCAGATTCGCTTGGCCTTGGACTCTGCCAGGGAGATCATAAACCCTACAAACACAGGACCCGTGTAAAACCCTGGGGCTTTTTTAAAATGTAAAACTTGAAGCATATTATTCAATCATCAGGAAAACCAAATGGAGATACAATAAATTCAAAAGTGATGAGATTTGAGAGTTCATCAAGACTCCAAAGCCTCATGACTCTCCCACTTTTCCTCCTCACCCACATCCTTCTCCCCCTGTATTTGTGCTTTACAGGCCCAGAGCTACCCAGGTGAGGGTGAAGCCGAGGGCAAGTTGGTGCTTCTGTGAACAAGACAAGCACTCTGGGGTAAATAATTCTAACGGCCCTGTCCATCTGACCTCCAATCCCTATAAAATGACAAATTCTAGGCGTCCACAAAGAAGTCAAGAAGGCAAATTGGGGCAGAGAAGCAGGCTGGAGCCCCAGTCTTTGTATTTTTATGGACAGCAGCAGAGGGTTTGAGGGCCTTCTGTGGTCGGCCTACTACCAGACTCTGACCGTAATAGTCTCGAACTAGCGGCTGACAAGATGGGCTGTCACCTCAGTGAGGCTGAGATGTTGAGGTGAGACTACATAATTAACTTGTTTTGAAAAAATGCCGATGGGCTAGGTGGGTTACTATGTTGATCAAAAGGCAGAGGCTTGATGGGCCAACATTTAAAAGGGTAGGTCATGCTTTTTAGGAGATCTCTTAAAAATATGGCCTATTAAATGAAGAGTATTCCCTCAGCAACATCCAGAGGGAGGCAATTTTGATGACTTGCTCAATGCAAAGTTTGGGGTCCAAGATAAATTATATGAAAGGGAAGTTGTGTTCAAAGCTGTTCATGCAAAAAAAAGAAAGAAAGAAAAAATATGAACCCATCTACAAGACATTTCTAGTTATCTAATGGCGGACTCTGTAAATAACATTTATTTTAAGGATTCTTTTATATATCTGTGTGAATTTGGACCAGGTGTTACAGGGAAAATCTTTTGCTAATCTTTCCTTTCCTCTGGCAATGCCAAGAACACTGGAAAAACAGAGAGATTACTGAAAAAAAGATGAACCAGATCACTGGGGGAGGAGTAAAAGTAGAGCAATATCTCAAGTTAGATCTGAAGTGCATAAGACAATCCAGAAGGAAACATAAGGGGGGAATCTATCTTTTACAACCAGACAGTTAATTTTAATGAGCAGGATCATAAAGATAGTAAAAGTCCATTGCATTGGTACATAAGGGTTAAGACCACTTTTCTGGCCTAAATGATCCAACATGACAAGAATCCACCAATTTTGAAAGTCTTGCTTTAGGCTGCAGACTGTAACGAAAGGAGCGTCCGCAACGAATGGCTGCCTAATTGTGTGAGTCCCAACCGGTGACTACACTACTGTCAGACATCTACCAAATTCAACCGTTTTTTGTTGTTGTTTTTTTTAAACAATTGGTATGAGAAAAAAAGATGGATATCCTTTGGCCTTAAGCTTTTTTAAGAATGGGAAAAAATGAGGAAAGAAAGCAAACCCACTGAAGTCAATATATGACAAAAGTTTTAAATAAAAAATGATTTAAATATGACAAGGGGAGGCCAATAAAGGCAGACCTTTGGAGCAAGGCATAGGAAAAAAAGTCAGAGGAAAAAAGAAACAAGATGGGAGCAGGGGGGAAGTTATAAACCTTTTGTGCCTGTCACAGGCTGTCAGAGCTGCGCCAGGTTGGATTTCATCTTCGCCAACTCAGACTGGCAAAGCTAAGCCCAAGCCATGGAGCACACAACATGATGTGGACATGGACACAAAAGTTACTCTTGTTGTTAAAAGGGATCTGACATCCCTCAGTCTTCCTGGATTCTTCCGCTCACCAATAAAACTGATTCCTCTGATTCCCTATATGGTAATGTTGGGACCAGTTTGCTGGTGCAGATGTCTGCTCATATACTATGACCCCTGTGACCTGCGATCAGACTGTGTTACTGGAGAGGAGCAGGAAAAGAGCAGCATAAAACAGCACGAGGAAAGACGGGCCAGAGCCAGTCTATTACTGACACTCACATGTTTTGAGCATTAGAAACTGGTTGACTGACAGATCACACTGTATGAAAGCAAGAACTTCAACAAATTTACTAAATCATTAATGCATATGTGGGTCAAACAGGCGGAAAGAATGAGCAGCCTCACCAGCTTTTCCAGTAAGTGGTTGGATAACAAAGGATTTTGAGGGTGATTAATCTGTTTTAGCTTCTGCCAAAAGCTGTTAACCTATTTTATGGTGCAAAGTTGGTGCAGGGTTTGAGGGGCATTTTAATTATGGCATTAAAAACACAAAAGCAAAAAACAGTCAAATGTATTTCTATAGTTTGGCAAGAACACATACAAAACAGAAGAAAAAAAAGACAATGGTGACACAGAAAAACTATTTCCAACTTTAAAAAAAACATGTAATTCAAGGATGAAGAAAACGGACAAATACAAATAAAATGACAGACCACCACAAGCCAGACGAGGTACAGGTGATGTGACCTGGTCAGATGCTGATGCAGGGCAGCGACGGGGGCTGCCACTTTGATGTGAGGAAATGCTGTAGGACTTTGGAGACTCCCCTGACAGCAGGTTACCACTGGCTATAACACAGTGTGCTCTAGACTGAAGACAACTGCCCTGCATGTCTCCAGAGAGAAACCCGAGAGGCACTATTACCACACTGTCCTGTCCTGTCACAGTCATGCCTCAGAACTCTGTTAAAGGGTGCCAATAAGCGTTGCACAAATGCTAAAATATTTCAATTAAGTCATGCCATATCCGTTATGTGTTTAATAGACGTTAGTGATTCGATGATTTTTGAGATACAAAATTTGGCTAACCTTTGTGTTGGTAAGAGTCTCCTTTTCTCCATTTTCAGATAATTTTTAATTAAATATCATACAAGATCAGGCTGTATATATATATATATATATATGTGTGTATGTGTGTGTTACCATCCAGACCTTATTTTAAATCAAATTATTTCAAGCAAGGGGTAAGTGACAAGGGGAGCTAGAAAACTCACCGCAACTTTTTCTCTTGGACGACGCCTTTTGCTTTTATAAGAGAGTGCTAAACTGTGATGCTACTGTGACAGTTTCAAAACAAATCCATCTTAAAATGTTCAATGTATCTAAAAGCCTTTTTCCGTTACCAGATTATCCACAGGCCAGACTTTAGTGACAATTGGAGGATGTGACTGTTCTACTGAGTATGGCACTGTCCTAAATATTGCATGTTTTGGAGAGCTGTA